TCACTCACTCACACAAACATACAAATAAATGTAAAGATATTATTTGTACATAGATAAATATGCCCAAAGAAAAAATATATACATATATATATATATATATATATATATATATATATATTATATATATAATACACCCAGAAAGATACAGTATAATACATACACACATACATAAATGAATACATGCATACAAATAAACACATCTAAGCATACCATAAATACCGAGATGCATAAATCAAAATAAGATACAAATACCTACACATGACATGCAGTCTATTATCAGCCACAAAAACACCAGTTGCTCGTCTAGTAGCCATTTCAGATATCCTAAGAGTGAATGATTTTCCGATAAAAGGAAGAAAGAAAAAAAGGAAAGAAAAGAAGAGAGAGAGAGAGAGAGAGAGAGAGAGAAAAAAACTACATATATATATATCAATTTATTTATTAACCCAGTGCCAACGGGAGAAATGTTTAGCAAGTGGACGTAAGAACGGGATTGTTGGCAGACATCAGCAGTTTCCTGTTTGCGCCCGGCTCGATCGGTAGTTTGCAAGCGACATTTAGCACCTAAAGCTTTTATTTTGCTATAACTTATAAAAATATTAAAATTTTGAAGGTTTACCTTCATTAGGTGCCATTATCTAAAATCTTTACCATATAAATGAAGCCGCTACTATCAGAGAAAAACAAACTCCATCAAACGAGCCAGTGCCACGGGAATGAGCATGATACGATGCCATCCGTGTTTCGGTCCAGAACATCCATGGCATGTACGTACATGCCACCCGTCGGCTATGGGTTAAGTGAACCCCCCCCCCCTCCAGGAGTGTACTGAAGAAAGTTCTCAGAACAACCTGAGATGGAAAAAACAAACAAACTTTGAACCACTTTGAATTCCATAAATTATTCCTATTTGAACATGTATGTGTGTGTGTGTGTGTGTGTGTGTGTGTGTGTGTGTGTGTGTGTGTGTGTGTGTGTGTGTGTGTGTGTGTGTGTGTGTGTGTGTGTGTTTGTGTGTGTGTGTGTTTGTGTGTGTGTGTGTATGTATGTGTGTTTATGTGTGCATGTGTGTATGTGTGTGTTTATGTGTGCATGTGTGTATGTGTGTGTGTTCACATGTGTGTACGTGCATGTACATGTGTGTGTATACGTGTGTATGTGTACATGCGTGTGTAAGTGTACATGCGTGTTTACGTATGTGTGTGTGTTTTTACGTGTGTGTGTTTATATGTACATTTACATGGCCTTGTATGTATATACACTATGTAGGCCTATAAACCTTGCAAGAGAAAACTGTCCTTGACTACTTTTAAATGACCAAGGACACTTTGCCTCTCCGAGAATGTTTGTAATTACTACTCCTGGCTTTCACAAAGTGTTCCCTATATCTACACCATCTTAATTTGTCACTTTTTTGTGCATCTTACTAAATCATTCCTAGCATTCACAAATACAGCCCTGTTAAAGATTACCTTCATCAAAATACTCAAGGCACAAGAGAGTTAATAAGTAGCACTTCTAAAATGCAAATAGCAGTGCATAAGAGAGGGTAACTGTTTCAGATAAATACAAGACAGTATTTCCTTATCATGGTCTGTCCCTTAAGATTTAGAAATTAAGAGAAAAGCCATCATGATGCTATGGTTCAACAGAATAACAAAAGGAGAATAATAGGGAACATTACTAGCACTATGTAGATCAAGAACATAATGACTGCATACTTTCTATGACTTGTATCAGTATTACAGCAACAAGATACTAGTTAAGTACCAAAGCTACAGAGATCTTCAGTGTATTGTATGAAAATGTACTAAAAGAGGAAAATACAGCAACCCCTGAATGTAAGTTTTGCTCGGGAATGAGTGTCAGGTTATAGCCAATACAGTCCGCTGCAGCTTCTAAATTCTCCTTACCCACTTTCTGCTTACAGCCCAAATGTAGTTAGCCTTCCACATGCCATGAGACAGATATATAAAATATTATTAGTAAGACAGATAAAGATTAATTTTTCTTCAAATTCTTGTAAAAGCTGTGTGCAAAATATATGTGGAAATAGACATCGAGGCCTGAATAATCACTGTATATCTATGCATTATCTATCAGCTAAATTTACTATGACTTGCTACAGTAAAGAATAAAGGAAATATAAGTATTGCTTACTTTTTTAATACCTTTATCTTTTTTTTTTTTACACATATTGATACACATATGTGAATATGTTCAATATATATGTGTTTACCTACATAAAGATGGCAAATGTGCCAAACAAAGTCTACAAAGAGTACTCCTTCCTATCCCGAATAAAAGGTCCCTCGAACAAAAAAATCAACCAACGTATTCCTATACATTTGTAACTGGGTTGGGTGGTAACCAGATTTCATATCACAAATTCATAAGACCTGTGACCTTAAACATTTCGTCACATATCTCATACATGGTAGTCAACTATCACCCTCTATGAGGGTCTACATATAAACTAACATAACAGCCATTCTATTTCTCTGTTTTCATCTACTATATTTGTCTGTTTTGTACCCCTATATGGCAGAGTTGCCTCAACCTTGGATGAAATTACTAAACAAAAACATTTTTTCTGAACGTTGCTTGCTTTTTTTTTCTGAACATTCTTTACTTTGTTTTATGGTCCAAAGATTTAATTAAAACAAAAACATACTCTTAATGTTCAATTTCACATTTGTTACCAATATTCTTTGCTGTTAACTTCTGAAGTGTTTCTCATTTGTACTTCAATATCACAAACCCAAAATTAAAACTCATCAACTGGGAGAGCTAACCTATATTATGTACTTTCTGTAGAAGTTAGAAATATTTCCTGGCAGGTGATATTGATCGACTAAAACATTTCAGGGAAGATTATCCTTTTCACTGATATAGGATAAATAAAAGTATAGTATAGATATATATGTATGCAATACATAATACACAAATACAATACAATATACATATCTGTAAGTGCGTGTAGGGGTGTTCACAAATGTGTGTGCATGCGCTTACGTATGCATGGGTGCCACAAATAATCAGAAAAATTTCTTGATCAAAGTCTTTCATAAACTAATAAATAATGATTTATATTACCTCTTCAATGCTGCATAAACTTGCTCTGCCCACTGTAATTTCAGTTTACTCATTCCATTAGCACACACGTGGCATCCAAAGTCAAAGCATTCGGCTTTCATGACCTCCCCTCTTTACTCTTTTCCTTGTTTTATGGAAATATTATTTCATTTGTTGTAGTATTGCTAATAACATTACAATAACTATAATAGGAATAACAATAATGACAACCATAATGATAATACGATCTAAAAAATTGAGGAATGGAAAAATCAGGCAAGGTCAGCTAGGGCTACTAATTGACTCCCTTGGTAATTAAGCAAACAATCTATGTAGAAGAAGAAGAAGAAAAAAAAATGGGAAGTGCATTTAGTCAACATTAATGTGTTGATACTAAAATAAACGCACATAATAAACCTAATTGTATTACTGAAAAACAATACTATTTTGTAAATGATCTGCAGCACTATGTCAAATGCATCAATATTTATTTAATGTCATATCTGATACAAGATTAAGAGATTAAATTTAACTTATTTATTAACATAACTGAAACTGTCATTTCTCAGTACTGACCATGTAATTTCTGCTGTTTTCCAGTATTTCCCAGGAAATTACCACCCTTGTAGGTACACATATATGCTGGTGCATGCATGTACTGATAAAAGTGTGTATATAAATATATGAATATATCTATATTTATATTTAAATATGTCTGCCTGCCTGCCTCTGTCATTCCGTTTATATTCAGTCTAGTTAGCTAGCTATTTCTATGAGTTTTAACATTAAAATGTAATATTGTAATTCATTTTTTATAAAATAACTGAATAGCAAACATTTCCTGCAATGTTGGTTCTATTTTCAATATCATCTCAGCTCTATTAAAAAAAGACAATGTGCTATAACATATAGCTTTATGGTTTGCTTGCTTGTTTGCTACAAACAAAATGTTTTGAAACATGGAATAAAGCAATATAGGGATATCTTCTATGGAAAGGAAAATATTTTTCCTATTCTGATACTGAAAAATGTACAACTGCAGTGCATATTAGTGCTCAGACACTAACAATCTAACTTCAAATTGGAATTCATAGTAGATACTGAAATCACTATGCCATCGCCTTCCATCTCTGTTTTCATAAAAGCACATGTAAAATCTTTAAATAAAGCACTTTCATTCTACATTATAGTAGCACATAACCCTTTATTTTCTTCTAAATATATATCTTGGGAAAGATGTAAGTCATATTTTTTGAAGCTCTATCCCACACACTTCATTATGAAAGAGACAGGCAATAATTTTTTGTTATGTCTTTAGATGGAATTTCAGTTTTCCATTATAAATTCCCTTGAAAGGCTACTGGGTCTAGCAGTGACCACCACTGCTTAGAGACTCATGTCTCTTCCTTTCTTTGCACTTGCTTTATTTTCTCTCTTTTGAATGATCTTTCTTTTACTTGCTTTAACTATCAATTTTTGGCTTTCATCTTTTAAGTAATGTCCAGTTTCCCTTTGATATAAATATAGGTGTATGCATAAACACATACTGTAGTAAGACAGCCTAACTCTTTATCCTATCTATTTCTGCTCCTTTGTTGTTTAATATTCCATTGGTCTAAGGGATTCAAGAGTTCATTTTGTGTGTGTAAATTCCCTTTCATAATGTCAATTTTCTTTCAGAGCTTTAAAACTTTTCCTTGAAAATCTTGGAATATAACAAAAATTTCATCCAAGACACAAGGACTTGAGGAAATGATACATCTCAAAACTATAAAAAAATCTTCATGATCATTTTCAGCATTCGGTTACCCAATTTACCCAGAAACTTGACTAAGTTTCAATTGGGAAATAACCATGAGAAAAAACCCTTCCAAGTTTTCATTAATATCCATTTCAAACTACCAAGTTTAGTATAATAATATCCAACTGATGTCTTTGGTCCAATAAGCCTTGTAGCAACTGTTACTATATAAAGAGTACAAACTTGGCTTACTCAAATGCATCCAAACTGAAAACACTAATGTGTTCTGCTATCATGGTTGTTTAGCAATAGAACTAATTTGAGAAAAAAAGAACTTTTAAAACTTCTATTTTCTTCCAAATAAATATCTTTAAAAATTCATATCTTTAGAGGCTCTATGGCACAAACCTCAATAGGAGAGATGGAGTAATTTTTGTTACATCTTTAGATGGAGATTCAGTTTTCCATTACAAACTCGCTTGAGAGGCCTTTGGATCTGGCAGTGACAACTGCTGCTTAGAGACCATTTTTGGTTCCCGATATACCACACTGATTCTTGTTACACCTTTAAATGTTTAATACCAACTCATGTGTTCTTTTTAGCACTTCCTCTATTTTCTCTCTTTTGAATGACACTTCTTTTAAGTGCTTTACCTATTTCTTCTCAGCCTATATAATCATACAGAAGTTTGTGTATTATCCAAAGAATTTCTACACTGTTCACTGATAATTATTTTTCTCTTTTACCGGAAATTATTTCTCAAAATTTTCAAACAATGTAACCTATCAGTAGAGCACATTCTGGTGAAGGCATCCATAAAAATTCCAAAAGCAACAATAAATTATATATTACACATTTTTTCCTTTCTTGAACTTTGGATAACTCCTCTTCTATTCATCTATTTTTGTGGGAGAAGGGAAATAGGAGGATATGGAGGAGGAGGATTTATCAAGAACAAGCAGGAAGAGGAAAAGGACCATGAAAGACTTTTTTTTTTTTTTTTTTTTTTTCTTTTTTACCAAAGGTCTTTTCAAGCATATGGATTTATCACAGAAAAAAGTTTTATTATTACACATAGACACCTATTACCATTCACCTGGATACTTATATATAGCTATACTCTGAGACAAAATACATATGTTAGAATTATGGACTAAAATTACAGAGCATTTATCTGAAATCCTAGAAATGATAAAACACTGTATCTGTATTGCTATGGTTACTGAAATGATATTAAGTTACTGTGTTAAAAGAACAGCATCACAAATGCATTCACACCGAACACCAATAGTTTGTTTTTATATGAGGTATCTTTATTCAAAATGCCTGGTGCCATTCTTTTCTACCTACTTTATTCCAGCTCTTCTGATCAAAGCTTAAGAATAATAATAAACAATATTAATGCTAAATATCATAATAAAGCCACATGAGATCTAACAATTGCAAAATGTCATAAGATGCCCTAAATGCATCTCAAAGATTCAGTAAGCACATGATCAGGTTTACAAAACTTTAATATAACATCTTCCTCCTAACTTCACCTTTATTTTCTCAAAAAAAGAAAAAGAAAGAAAAAAAAAGGGAAAGAAAAAAGAAGAAGAAGAAGAAGAAGAAAAAAAAAAAAAAAATTGAGGAGGACTGCTTCTGTCCTTTATTCACTGCACGCTCAACTGCAGCCCAATCTTCGGCCAATCCTCACCACTACATTGCAAAACAACAATGCAGGTCTTGGATACTGACGTCCTCCTCGCCTACCACTGTCCTCCATACGACCCATCACTCCTTGAGGCCATTGCATGACGTTCCGAGTGGCAAATGTTGACCGCTGGTTGTCTCTTCCCCTTCCCCTTCTTGGCAACCCTATCAAGAACAGCTTAATAACTGCGGCCTGATCCAAGATTTGGTTACTCATTCCCACTGCACATGAATTACTCACATATAAGTATATAAGCAAGATATAGCACACTTACATTTAGGTGAGTAAAGGCCTCCGAATGAGAGATAACCAGTCCATGTGCAATCGCAAAAGGCATTCAAGCTGTGTGTATTTAGAGGCAACCGTAAAAAGACACAACAAGTGAGAAGTAAAAGTAAGGAGCTATGCATTTTTCCTGACCTCCTCCATATCTACTCCCATTATGGATATTAAAATTTGCATATTAGTTAAAATTCAGATATAACATATAATTATATAAACAAACAAATAAATATATAAATAAATAAATAAATAAATAAATAAGTAACAGATCTATCCATCCATCCAAAAATAAATAAATATATAATATACACATGCACACACACATACACATACATATATATATATATATATAATATATAAATATATAAATATATATATATAAATAATAATATATATATATATAAATATATATATATATACATATACATATATATATATATATACATATATATATACATATAATACATATATAATAATACATATATATATACATAAATATATACATATACATACATACATACATACATACATATATATATATATATATATATATATATATAATATATATACATATATACATATATTACATATATACATATATATAATATATACACATATATACATATATACACATATATACATAATATACATATTATATATATAATATTGTATATATATATATATTGTATATATATATATTATATA